TTCCAAGTCAAGTGCTTGAGGCTCCACCGTGAGGGGAAAGAACAGCCTTCTCACAGGGCTGCTGTACTAGACATGGGATTTGAAAGGTTTGTTACATCAGCACTGAGACACCCAAGGAGGATTTATGGTTAAATGTACTATTTTGGTTAAAAATGAAATAATATTTGGGTTGGGGTACAGTAGGTGCTTCAGCATTAGGGCACTTATCTGGCATGCATGAGGCTCTGGGGTTTAATCCAATCTACTTCAGTCAAAGCAGCTCTTTACACCCCTCACCCCAAGGAGAAATTTGACATCTGAAAGAAACAAGTGACTACAATTTCCTCTACCTTCATAAACAGATTATTTCAGGATAGAGAAAACGCCTTAACCTAGGTAACAGCCCCCCCCACTCAGTTGCAAAGCCTTTCGCCTACTTTCAGACATGACGACTGCTTGCTGTCTGGAGCGGCTGACATCCGCAGAGCAGCGCACCTCCACAGCTGACCAGACCAGAGCTCTATCTGCTCCCAGAGTCCTGGCGTGTTACTTTGGGTTTATTTCCCCTTCAGATATCATCTGACACAATGACAGCATAGACCTCAGATACTGGTGATGAGCAAAGACCAAGGTTTGGAAAAGGTCTTGATGGAGATTAGCCCTCCAAAGATAATGAATTCTAGTTCTCACACCATCTACTACATGTTATTCCTAAACATTCCACCCTCTGACAACTTTCCCCAAGTCTTAAACACTTCCTTAGCATCGTTACACCTTGACCTTTGAGAAATTTAAAAATTGTAAAACACTTCAAATAATCAAGGCATTGATTTATAAACTATAAACCCAAGATAAACTTGTCTGTCTTCATGCAAAAATGGCAGAATAAGTTACTTCAGTGAAACATCTGAAGTATGGCACTAACACACTTTTGAGGAGATATAAAAGAACTCAGTTTACACCTCAAAGTCCTACACTTCAGACACGGGAAACTGCAGATCAATGTTCAAATTAACCACCATATGTAACATGTAAGAACAAATTTGCATTTTTTGTTCCTTTTTAAGACAGGGTCTCCACATAGCCCTGGCTATGCTAGAGCACACTCTGTAGCCCAGGCTGGCCTCGAACTCAAGAGATCTGCCTGCCTCTGCCTCCCAAATGCTGGGATTAAAGGCATGTGTCGCCACTGCTCAGCTGCTGTGAACAATTTTAAAGTAACTATTTTTGTTATTCTCATTTGTGTCTGATTTATACTATTTATAGTACATCATTGTTCTATGAATTTCCTGAAAGGACTGCCCTAAAATGCTCTCTTATGTATACTGTACTTAGAACAGGTTGTCTCTCATCTGGCCACTACATTGATTGGTACACAAAATACCTTGGTGGTACTTTCAGAAATCTTCAAAGAACTGACTTAGACAAGCAAAACTCTGAATACATGATGTGTATTTAGAAATGCTTCAGTAGGTCTGTGAATGTCATTCAGAGGTAAAGAACCTGTCTACCACATATTAGGCCCTGGGTTCGATTCTCAGCACCCTCCACATACCCACCAAAGGCCTAGAGAGCACATCACTAAAAGAGGTTCTGGGTAATCCTCTACTGGACAGCAATGATCCAGGCTTCAGTGAGAATTTCAGAAGGCATTAAGTTGGGGCTGGAGAGTTACGTGGTTAAAAGCATGTGCCATTCCTACAGAAGGCTTGGGTTTGATTCTCAGTTGTGATCAGGTACCTCACAACTACCTGTAACTCCAGCTGCAGGGACTCTAATAGCCTTTTCGGTCCTCCAAGAGCACCAGCATTCATATGCACACACATATACATACATAATAAAAACAATTGCTGGGCGTGGTGCTGCAGGTCTTAATCCCAGCACTCAGGAAGTAGAGGCACAAGGATCTTGTGAGTTTGAGGCCAGCCTGGTCTACAAATCGAGTTCCAAGGCCATTAGAGAGAAACCCTGTTTCGAAAAACCACCACAACAATAATTAATAATAGGCTGAAGCGATGGCTCAGTAGTTAATAGGACTTATTGCTCTTACAAAGGATCTGGGTTTGATTCCCAGGCCACACATAATGGCTCACAGCCATCCATAACTCCAGTCCCAAGGGATCCAGTGTCCTCTTCTGATTTCCGTAGACACTAGGCATGCATGTAATGCATATACATATACTCAGGCAAAATACTCCTACACATACAATAGATCAAATTTTTAAAAAAATTAAAATAATGAAAATAACCCTTTTTAAAAAAGGAATTAAACTACAGAACAGCACCGGAAAAACATGGTAATAAAGTATCTAGGAAAATACATAACTTAGCACATATATAGATTAAAAGTCTTGAAAACAGAGGACCTGAAGGGACAGCTCAGGTTAAGAGCACTGGTTGCTCTTCCTGAGAACCCAGGTTCAGTTCTTAAGTGTTCACATGGCAGCTCACAACCACCTGTAACTCCAGGTTCAGTGGCTCTAATGACCTTTTCTGGCCTCTGCAGGCACCAGGCATGCATATAGTGTATAGACAGACATGCAGCAGGGAACACTCATATGTATACAATAAAAAAATAAACTTTACATTCTTAGAACAAATTCCCCATATGTAAACACTGAGCACAAAGCAGCACAATTAACCACTACTATAATTATAGAAGTTAATTTTTCACAAGCCCTGAAATTACTGAGGAATTTGATTTGTTGATGTAAAAACCAATAACAATAAAAATGAATCACATTGATCACTGAGAAAAACAGTAAGACTCCAAAACAAGAAAGGCGGTGGGGACAAGAGAAGGGATCCCATAAAATGTGAAACACAAAATGTCAGACAAATGAGAAATATGAATTCAGTATGACCCCAAACTGAAGAAATATGATTCCAACTCCAGTGTGACTCTTGTGGTGGGCTACAGAAGGCCAAGTCTAACCTCCAGGGTCTCGGGAGTGCAGGCAGCACCAGTCACATCCACTCGATTGGGCTATAACTTGTACAACGATTATGGAAATGGAGTGTATACCCTTTGATTCCATAACACAATGATAAATGTACAGCACTGACTTCAAATGGAGACGAGAATACAACAGCAATGTTCAACAAAACTATAACATGATCTTGTCAATGTTCAACAAAACAATCATTAACTATAGTATGATCTTGTCAATGTTCAACAAAACAATCATTAACTATAACATGATCTTGTCAATGTTCAACAAAACAATCATGAACTATAAAATGATCTTGTCAAAGTAACGTATTATGCAGCTAATAAAAATGCTTAAGAAACTTCATGGAGCTGGGAATATAGTTCAATGGTATAATGCTTGCCCAGTTTGAGCAAGGACCCATGTGGGTGTGTGCATGAGTGTGAGAAACAAACGAAAAACTATTGTTAACTATAAGTGCAAAAATGGGTTAAACACACTGTACAAGTTGAAAAATCAGAAAATTACATTTACACAAATCCACTAAACTTTGAAGACACAAAGGAAATATGGCAGAGAATCATAATCAGTTAGAAATACAATTCTATTATTTTATACCATAATTTTCAAACTTTGATACCATAGGGTTCTATGTCCCTAAGACAGCAGCAAGGGCTGTGTTAACAGTGGGAAATGAGAGAAGCAGGAAGCAGTTCCCAATCCATATGGTGTAAACATCCCCACCTTAGCTAATGCTAATAGCTAACAATGCCTTCAGCAACTGACTCACAAAACTGCTGAAACTTGAGCAATCTGCTCTTGCAATACAGTACTAGTTGCTCTAGCCCATTATAGTATATAATTGTACACGATAATGATTATGACTTTAAATAAAAATTACAGTAAGCAGCCATCAAAAAGATCCTGCTACTGAATCAGCATGGTAGTTCATGCTAGTAATCAGGAGATGGAGGAAGAAGATTCCAAGTTCAAAGCCAGTATAGTCTAGGTCCTACCAAGACTGCCTCCAAAAAAAAAAAAAAAAAAAAAATGGCCGGGCGGTAGTGGCGCACGCCTTTAATCCCAGCACTCAGGAGGCAGAGCCAGGCGGATTTCCGTGAGTTCAAGGCCAGCCTGGGCTACCAAGTGAGTTCCAGGAAAGGCGCAAAGCTACACAGGAAACCCTGTCTCAAAAAACCCTAAAAAAAAAAAAAAAAAATCAAACCAAACCAAAGATGTATCTCAGGAAGCAAAGCACCTGACCAGCATGCATAAAACCCTGGGTTCAATACCAGCGCTGCCTAAAACTATGCATGGTAGGACACTCTAGTGTAATCCTATCACTTAAGAGGTAGAAGCAGGAGAATGAGAAACCCAAAGTCCTTCTTGGCTACATCTTCAAGGCTAGCTTTAGCTATATAGACCCTGTTTCAAAAAAGGGGACAGAGGGGTAGCAGCTTCTTTACAACGTAGGGTGAAACCATGGGAGAAATAACTGTGAAGATGACTTGTCAATGCTACATACATGCTACAGACCATCAAGACATTGACACTGCAAGAGGAAAAATACAAAAGCAGACCAACTCCTCATAGCATCTATTACCAATCCATTCCTTGAGCCACGAAACATTAAGGTTCATTTAGCCTCCCCCTTCAGGCCCTTGATACAGTGATAAAATGAGATCTCTGCCCTTGGGGAGCGTACATTCTATTAAAGGTGTCTCTGATGAATAGTCAATGTAAACTTTCACGAAACATTAACACTTGTATTAAAATATGAACAACAAGTAAGAACCTACATATCTTGTTAGTTTTTAAATACAAAGGAGACATTGAAAGACAGAAATTCATTTTTAGAAAGAAAGAGATACAAGTGGGAGAGAGAGAGATTAAAAGTCATGGCCCACCACATCCACACAGGTAGGCTTCTCCTCTATCCCTCCTGCAGAAGCTAGTGTAGCACACCAACTGTACTAAACCATGTTAAGACTTCTGCATCTGGTTTAAGGTCCAAACAGGTTCCTGCCCACAAGATAAACCAACAACTGAAAACGAAAAGGTTAGTGACCACACCTTAACACATTCTCTTACTTTTGCAGGAGAGCGTTGTTTCCGCTTCTTCTTTTTCTGTAAGTCTACTGGCTCTCTGACTTGTTTTTTGTCTCTCATCAGCTGCTCAGATACATCAGTAAAAGTAATTTCCTGCTTTACACTTATCTGTTTAAAAAAAACAAAGCTGATTTTAGAAACGCATGAAGTCCAATGTGCATTGTGCAGAAGTACAACTTCTAACAGAATAACCTGAGGGGTATTGTTTGGGAGGCTAGGACATCACCCACAGGACAGACAGGCTGAAACGTGAGGATGGACTCCAAGTAGGCTCTGCCTACTCATTCTATACTTAAGTTGCTTGAATTTAGCCAAAAAGGTTTATTGGTATTAACTCCTTGTCATCTGTCCCTTCTCCCTACACACGGGAATCAAATCAAACCAACCATGAAAAAGTCCACTCTGGCGAAGAGGGATAAATAAAACCAAACCATAGGATAGCTAATCAACAATGTTACAGAAAACTGTTCGGAGACAAGGGGTGTGGAGGTGGGTATCAGAAATGAAATGGCATGGTAACACATGCCTAGAGTTCCAACACTTGGGAGACTAAAAGACAAGAATCCTGAGGCTGAGGCCAGCCCAGGCTACATAGCAAACCTTATCTTAAAGTCAGTACAAAAACGAAGTCCCTTGTGTTAACTCTTCTAAGTATAACTACAGTCAGGAAGTTATGGATAAATAGATCTTGTAACAAGTGTGACCTCAACAGAACTGACTCTACCTCCTTGCTCTGCTCTATAGAGGCACTCCTATTTTCAGGCATAAACATCCTGTTCTCTGTTGTATGATACTTTGCTTGTGTCTAGCTTGCCTGGAGATTAGAGAAGCAGAGCAGCAACCACGAGAAACTTCTTACCTCTACAAATCCTCAGACCAAATGGGGGAGATCCTGTCTCCACCCACTTTATATTTCTGTCTCCACCTCCCTAGTGCTGGGATTAAAAGAAAGCACTCTGCTTCTCTTGTAGACCGATTCAATCTCGTGTAGCCCAGAGTAGCCTCGAACTCCTGATCTTCCTGCTTCCTCCTCCCAAGTGCTGGGATTACAGGTGCGTGCCACCACTGCCTGACCTCTATGGTTAACTAGTTGCTAGCTCCACCCTCTAATCTCCAGGCAAGCTTTATTTGTCAGAACATAAACAGAGTATTATGTTCACCTATATGCTCTGTCATTAAGGTCTGTCCTTTCGCATATAGTAGTTTATCATTCACCCTGGAAAACCGTAAGGCTAGATAGATTAGCTGATACGATAGCTCCCTCCAGATTGAGAGTATTCATACACACGGGGAGCATTGTAACGGACTTAGAAACAGACCATCTTTGCTAAAAAGCACTGACTCCTCACTTGGGCTTCAAGGTAACTAAATTCAAGATAAAAGCCTGGCTTCTCTATGATTCTGTTTGTCTCCTTTACTTTGAGCTACCTGTCCACCTCTCCAGGCGTGTCTGTGTAATCTATCTCATCTCCTGAATGGTTGATGGCATAGATAAATCATTGGCCTTAACCTTTCTTCTGTGTCACCATGGATACCCAGGACACTCACAGGATGGAGTCCCCTGGAGCTAAAGTAACTCTATCCTAGTAACCACCCCATCCCTGTAAGCAAGACTTCTTCCAGATCAAACAGAGCTAAGACAATGACAGGACTGCTCAACTTGAATTACCTCTTGCCCCTACACCAATTCCTCTAACCCTAAAGCTCATGTCAGTGCTCTAAAAACACAGCTTAGCTCTGGACCTCTTCATACAGCTCTCTTCCCAGTGTGCGCACACTGAATAAACCTGCCTGATTTCTGCTCGTCATGCACACATGAAATAGTCTTTTGTGACCACCCACCCCAAAACTGTATTTTCATCTTTTGCTGAACCTATACAGAGTGACTGTATGCATATGTGCAGCAAATTAAACAAAGTGCTAACCAACTAATTAATAGGCTTTGAGAAACAAAAACAGAGTTGATGAATCTGAGAAACTTTGTTGAACCAGAGGGAAAAAACGATGAATGAGGTCTTGGCCAGGGATGTTTATAAGACCTAACAGCATGCAGTGGAGGTCAACAACTCCGATTTCATTGCCACACTAAGGACTAATGCTGAGGTCACAAGCACAAAAAAGGTTAGGTTCCAACAAGTCAATATAGTATCAGGAACTAAAGTCCACTTTATATATCTTGATGTCTGTTTTTACATCAAGAAAACGGTATAAAATTTTAAAAACTGATCATAGCAAAAGAAAACTAAATCAAATAACGAAAACAATGTTTTGGGTTTTTTTGTTTGTTTGTTTGTTTGTTTTGGTTTTCAAGACAGGCTTTCTCTGTGTAGTTTTGCGCCTTTCCTGGAACTCACTTTGTAGACCAGGCTGGCCTCGAACTCACAGAGATCCGCCTGCCTCTGCCTCCCGAGTGCTGGGATTAAAGGCGTGCGCCACCACTGCCCGGCTGAAAACAATGTTTTTAATGCTCAACATTTTTCTTTTCCCTTCCTATGCTCAATGTTTTTTACAGACTAGTAGCCACTTTCTCCCTAGACTTGTCAACAAATCATTACCAAATGTATAATTATGAAGTTGTATAAGGCTTCCCCAAGACATAATACTTACAATTAATTAGAGAAACAGAGTCCAAGAAACATACAATGTCAACACTTTGTCCTGTCTTCAAGTCTTGGTTCCAGAGTGCTTGTCTTTAACACACCAAAGTTCTAAGGTCACTAATGATACAGTCAATTTTTATCAGACTGAGGATGCTCAGTCAACCCCCTCTTCACCACAACCTTTTAAATTTATTCTTAAAAACAAAACAAAATTTTTGAAATTCTGCTACAAAATACAGCAGAAGTCTCTGAAGATCATCCAAGTACACAAAAAGTGCTCATGATTGAAGCTTCCGACAAGAACAAAGAGTCTCTCACTGCCTATGAGACCATTCAAACACTGGCCCCAAGGAATTGCTATTTCCCCAGAAATCTCATGTTAGGGAAGGGGATAGCCAAAGCCCAAAGTGCCAGCCAGGGGGGGAAACAGTCTCCTGGGAAAGGGACGTCACACAATTCTGACAAATTGCCAGAGCCCCTCAGGAGAGACTAAGCCCAGACAAGGATGCGATTCCAGGCAGGAGCATACCTTGACCATGATTACTTAGTAATGCTCTTTTGCTCTTGCTCTCTGTTCAAACTCAATGATGGCCTGCAAGTCACTGGGCCTCGCTCGGACCCTCTTCTCAGTGTGAGGACACCAACTGGCTTCCCTTTCTGCGCATTCACTGCTGCTCCTCCGTGGGCTGGTGTGTTAGCTGTGGACAGGAGACTGCTCCTCTGTGAGCTGGTGTGTTAGCTGTGGACAGGAGACTGCTCCTCTGTGGGCTGGTGTGTTAGCTGTGGACAGGAGACTGCTCCTCTGTGGGCTGGTGTGTTAGCTGTGGACAGGAGACTGCTCCTCTGTGGGCTGGTGTGTTAGCTGTGGACAGGAGATTGCTCCTCTGTGAGCTGGTGTGTTAGCTGTGAACAGGAGACTGCTCCTCTGTGGGCTGGTGTGTTAGCTGTGGACAGCAGACCAAGCCTAGTTGTTAGGGCTGCAAAGGCTCACGTTTGTGCCCCCAAAACAACAGTTAGCATGACTACATTTGCCAAAAACTACAAAAAAGATGGCACCAAAGACGAAGGCCACCTTACAGACCCGGTGTAAACTAGAACACAGGCAGGCGGCTGTTAAGGACGCGTGGGCAGGGTGCTTAAGCTCTGGGAGCCAGAGGGTCACACAGAGGGGCAAACGAGGAAACGGAGCGGTCAAGAACTCCTGAAGTGAAGAACTGTGAAATCCCAGGTCAACAAGCCAGTCAACCTAGCTGAAAATTCTATTAGGCTACAGAACAAGAGAGTTATTTTGGTGTCAGTTATTTGAAGACAGCACAGAATGGTAAAATCACCTCCTCGACTCTGAGGCTCACTGAAACACAGCCACATATTCAGGCTGGGTATACAACAAATAGAGATGAGAGACAGAAAGCAGCTGGGGAACTGCTCCAATTTCACAGGGGTTCCAAAAGGCAATTCACACATATCTTTCAGTTTCTAAACTGATGGAAAATCAAACATAAACTAGAACCTGCAGCAATAAGAAACAGGAACTCACAGGGCAGGGTGGTCTTTAATCCCAGTTTGGAGGAAGCAGAGGCAGGCAGATCTCTGTAAGTTCCCATACAGACAGGACTAAACAGAGACCTGTCTCAAAACAGCCAAAACAGACAAAAGAAAGCAACAGGAACTCTTTAGAGCAGTTAAGACATACCCTAAGTCTGCAATCAGCAGCTATTCACAAACTAAAGTCTTTACGAGTACAGCTTAAAAGAAAAGAGAAATGCAGCTTTACTTACACATACATGAAAAACAATTATATTAATACTATCATTTTCAAATACTAGTCACACTTATAAAAAAAGGCACAAACCCAGACAGACAGTAAATCATAGTTTTAGAATGGTCCAAAAAGTTTGTTACTCAAAATGGAATGAACTAATCTCCTTCCCATATGACTTCTAACTGGGCCTCGTCTCAAGTACACAGTCCACCTCTAACACAAGGCAGCTTCAGGCAAGCTGCTCCTCACTGCAACCATTTACAGAAGGACGACAGTGGGGGAGGGGTGCACAGAGAGTGTTCAGTGGAGTCACGTCACTGCTGAGCAATCCTGGAGACAGGGGTTCAATCCCTGGAAAAATAGAAAGGTGAAGGAGAGAACCGACTCCATAAAGTTCTCCTATGACCTCTGTACACGTGCCATGGCATGTGTGCCTACATACATACAACATATACACAGGGAGATAATAATAAAATACGTAAGTTTTTCAAAGATGCTGGGAAACTCAAACACAGAGCACAATGTACAATATGTGAAAGAATTTCTGCCTTCCTTGGTCCAAGCAAGACTACAACAGTAATCTACAAAAACAAGAAAACTTTGTAGACGTGACAAAGAGACATTTATTAAATCATCTTGTCTCTTCCTTGAGAGGTTTCATTTTTTAATAAATTTATATACAGAGTCTCATGTACTCCTGGGTGACCTCAAAATTTTGAAGTTAACTTTTATTTTTATTTTATTTT